GGGTTGAATGACTCTTTCCCAGGGGCCACCTAACACCATCGGAAGACAAATATACACTACAGTAGCAACTAAAATTATTTTGTGGTTGGGGGGGATCGTCACGACATGAAGAACTGTATTAGAGGGTCGCAGCATTAAGGAGGTTGGGAACCACTGATTTAAAGGTTTAACATGCCTTTTATTTCTTTTTGACATGATTTCCAAATTAAATTTGTTTGAATAGAGGTCACAAAAAAACTGTTAGAGAACAGTTTGAAAACAGAAAACGCCATGGAGTAATAAACATGTTTCAATAAATGAATTGCCCTCTGCTCACGTGGAAGAAAGGGGTCAAAACGAACCCTTCGACTATTTTAATTAAAGTCAATGACTACCCCACACTGATACAATGAGAGAAACTCCACCCATATCCCTCTATAAGCATCCTCAGCATCCAGGAACCCTAGCGAGATACACACAAGCTAGTACATTCTTATTCTTTTCGTGTACATTCCACATTGCTTATATTTAATTTGCAGAATAGACAAAGATACATTGCGGTGGGACAGAACCAAATGCACTTCAACAAAGAACTTTATATGCGCCAAGCCGGACTATTACAGTAAGTCAATGCTTCCCTATTACAGTAAGTCAATGCTTCCCTATTACAGTAAGTCAATGCTTCCCTATTACAGTAAGTCAATGCTTCCCTATTACAGTAAGTCAATGCTTCCCTATTACAGTAAGTCAATGCTTCCCTATTACAGTAAGTCAATGCTTCCCTATTACAGTAAGTCAATGCTTCCCAACTACTTACTGGCAACGAACCCCCAAACCCCCCCTCCCCCGCCCCAAAATAATTCTAAAACCATTTTTTTTTAAAGATACTAACTGCAATATTCATATGATCAAAAAAAAAATTAAGCTCTTTTTCTTGCTTGCTCTAAAGCAGACCCGCACACCCGCACAACTCATAATGTGAGGGGCGGGTCGTAATACTTTTTGAAAAGCGTGTGCGGGCCGTAAAACGTTAAGAAAAACTTGTGTGGGCCGAAAGATAATAGGAACGGTTGGGGGGGGGGGGGAGCTATTAAGAAAATAATAATAATAAATAGTATTTCGTCGTTTCGCGGTACGCCAAGTGGGAGCTCGCGGGCCGCATGCGGCCCCAATGCCGTATGCTGTGCAGGCCTGCTCTAAAGAATCTATTTAATAACAGACTTTAAATTATGTTGTTACGCACTGGCTTCTATTGTGAGAAATTAATCTTTGGTTTTAAGTTATGGCTCGTTCAAATAGCGCACAACAGAGGACGATACCATAGATAAATACAATAGCAAAAATACGACACCCAAAACAGTTGCTAATTACAATTGCCTTATATACTCGCATATAAGCCGAATTTAGAACTATAAAATACAATACTGAAATCAGGGGGTCGGCTTATATGCGCATAAAACAAAATTGACACAAGGACAGACACTAATGGCAAGTGTCCAGCCACACATTTTCATCACTATCTGACTCCTTGTTTGGTTGTGTGTACAGAGTGCTAAAATATATACATATTCAGATACGCGTTATTTATTATAGCAAACAATGTTGGAAAGAGCAGAACACGTTTTTGTGTGTCCTTCCAAAAGGTAAACAAACTGGTGTGTAACATAAAAGTAAGCAGTTTACATCTTGACAGTAACACATTTCTATGAACCAAAAATATGGAGTAAAATTAGACAATGGTATGGTCGGTTTATATGCAGGTTTTTGCAAAAACTGGCCATTTTAAAGCAGTTTTAGGGGCTTGGCTTATATGCGAGTATATACGGTAATAAGATTTATTTAAGTATAATTAAGTATAATTACAAAACAAAAGAAATATAATTACAATCATCAACTTACAGAGTATGAGAAGTCTTGTACCGGTACAAGACACAGTTAGTACAATGTACCAATTAATAAAGCACAAGGATGAATGCGAATAAACACATAAGAGTACACAAGGAATAATGCACTGGTCTCGTAAAGTTAAAATATCTATCAATCAATCTCCATCCGTCCCTGTTATTGCTCTGTTTGCTTTTATAGTCGGTGCTACCGAAAAATCTAGGCGTATTCCAGACTGTAATAGTAACTATAAAATTCCACAATTGACTATAATTTTCGAACGCCTTCCCGTATCCAAGAGACCGGCGAGAGATCAAAGAGATTAAACCACGCCCACTACGAAACGCTGTGTCTGCTATATTGGCAGCACGGGTGAAACGTGATGTAACATGTCCTGCATAACAATGTCTTATAAGGATGGAATACGTCTGCGTAAAGCTAAGTAAAACATCGAGACCTATTGCTTAGAAAATAAGATCGCACCAAAAATTTTCAAACAACTTTAAATATGGATATTCGACAATAGGCCCTACTAATATGTTTTTTTTTATTTAATAGCAAAACAGTCAAGAAGAATAATAAAATTGCAATAAAATTGGTAAAAATATGGCATTACCAAGTGTTTTCATTTCAAATTGCATTTCATTTTCTCTATTGACTGTTTGGCTATCAAATCATTGTGATAAATTTTGGTCCCAAATTTTTTTTTTTAATGCAGTACCAATATGTAGTACTACCATTTTAATTTTAGTCACCATAGACGCTGCCATTTCCAATTGTTGTGATTTGGACCGGATTCAGTATTTCGTTTGGTTATGTTATTTATACTTCCCCTCTCCCCCCCACCCCCCCCCCCAAAAAAAACCCTCCTCCCTTGTGGTCCATTGTAGACTTTACCAAAGTCCAGCCATACAAGGCAGTGGATATTTTAGTCACAATAGACGCTGCCATTTCCAATTGTTGTGATTTGGACCGGATTCAGTATTTCGTTTGGTTATGTTATTTATACTTCCCCTCTCCCCCCCCCCCCCCCCCCCAAAAAAAACCCTCCTCCCTTGTGGTCCATTGTAGACTTTACCAAAGTCCAGCCATACAAGGCAGTGGATGCGACCATGGTGGCTGTGAACCTGAGTGGCGCTTCAATCACTGACTGCAGGGAACTGTGCGACTACGTCTACGGCTGCTACATGACGTCATACGCAGGCGACAAGGGCTGTGTCCTGGCCGTGGTCGGTCAAGCCAGCAACACCTTCGTCAGGGTCGGCAGATTTATAGGTAAGTCGGGGACACGGGTCTTGACCGTGGTTGGTCCAGCCAGCAACACCTTCGTCAGGGTCGGCAGATTTATAGGTAAGTCAAGGACACGGGTCTTGACCGTGGTTGGTCCAGCCAGCAACACCTTCGTCAGAGTCAGTGGATATATAGGTCAGGATCGGACACATGGGCGTATCAAAGAATGAAACCATCATTTCAGAGATTTATCGAGACCCTCCACTGACGTTTATCAGGCGTCCTTCTTACCAACGTTTAATCAAATTCCTATGGGTAAGATAATCATCCATTCTTATATTGAAATATATTGATTTCGGAAATGCATGCTAAAGCTCGTGTCTTTGGGTTGTGGAAAGGCGCACAGCTAAGATGTGTTCAACACCTACGTCCAAAGATAACTTTTCATGTATATCAAAAATAGATAGCGCCAAACATGGGACGTGACATTTAAAGTTGGCAGCAAAATAAAAAAAAATGGTTACGGCATCACTTCCGTTTAAACAAATTCCTCTTTTGAAACAGTGCAGTGGTTGATAGAGGGAACGCTCACCAAATTTCGATCTTAACAAACTCATTGGCTTACTTTTCTTTTCTTTTTTCCCTTGCTTTTTATTTGTTTTCACTGTCGCAGAGCAGATCGTTAACCTTTAACAAGATTTTTATCAGCTTTTCTCACTCTCCGTGGAGCAAAGATTATCCACATACTTTTCCATCTGTCCCTGTCCTGTGCTATCTCTGCTAGTTCAGCACAATGGAGCATATGCCATCCACAATACTTTCCCCTTTGTGCCTGTCCTGTGTGATCTTTGCTAGTTCATCCCAACTTTTTCTTCATTGTTTTCACCTCTGCTTCCTACCCCCTCTTCCATGTGGCTCTTGGCCTCGTAGTGCGTTAACGAGATGGCCGAACACTGTTGCATACACTTGGAGAATCTCCAAAACGTTCACTTAAACGTTGGGTTATTAAATGGATGTTTTTCAGAGATTTGGATTGCCAACCGCCCGTAAATTGAATCCAGATATTTCGTACATCATAGAAAATTGTTTGCGCTGCTACTGCAAATAACACCAAAAAACAACAACAACAAAAAAGAATTAAAAAAATAACAAAACTAAAGCATTCAGTTTTGAACTATTATTGTATTCTTTTACAAAGCCTTCCTTTTTTTTTTTCTTTAAGAAAATCCCGCCACGTTTGTTGTTATATTCCTTTCGTTCAATGACAAGTGCCTCCACATGACAATCGCCTCGTTCATTACAAAACATCTTATATATATTATTGTAACGGTGAGGACTTTAATCACGGGGCGGTGTCCGTCCTGTAGGAACAATGGGGAAACGAACCGGAGGTCCACGCAACACTTTCCACGAGTGACCTTTTCCTTTCAGCATTGCTCTTCCTACAAGCTTTGATGACGGTGTCGGTTTGGAGGATTTCAATTTCGATCTCTGGGCTACTTAGTTGGTTGACCTAGCTTGGGTTTTGTTCTGAATTCTGAGTGAAATCTCAGATAATTAAAGGTCTTCCTTTTTGTTCGGCTGGTTCTTTTATTCCGTTGGCTTATTCTGTTGACTTAATCAGTTGACTTATTCTGTTGACTTACTCAGTTGAATTATTCTGTTGACTTATTTTTTTGACTTATTTCTGTTGACTTA